AAAAGTGACAGAGAGTCAAATAAACAACCAAATGACTTAACTGAAGCGAACGGCAGTGTGGTCTAGATGAATAATTCTTGCTATAGTCGGCCGAAGTTGGGGCTTGATTTCCAGACATGAATTATGAGTGGTTGTCTAGAGATTCTGTGGGCGTCAGTCCAAATATCTAGCCCAGCAGAATCTCAATAGAGATTAGGGGGTCCTGTCCTCAAGCACCTGTGTGTTAAGGTAGAGTTTCTTAACCAAAAACTACAGTAACATATAGGGAAAAAAGAAACACCAATTGTCAACTTATTGGTAAGTTTCTAAATTGCGAAATTTGAGAGAAATTATTTTTTAATGATGGTTTTTCGATGTCTATAATTTCATTTACTGGTTAATTGTTTTGCATATTAACGTAATGGTGTATAAAATGAGAAATTAGTTAAGACAAAAATTTATTTAGGCATTCAGACTAAATTCCGTGGTTTCGAATACCTAATTTTTTTGTATACTAAAATAAGTCTAATACCAAAATCACTGACCTGTTCCAGGATTGATGCTGAGGCTTTAGTTTGGTTGAGGTGCATGTTTCTATCTGACAGTACAGAAACAACTATTGTTACTGATCGATAAATTCTTTGTGTGCACTCGATTCGTTTGTCATCCATTTAATACTCCGGTTACAGTGCAACAAATTTTGACACAGCAGGCAATTTGAAGAAATAATTATTCACATTTAGGTTCTCTGGGTTCTAGATTTCTAGAGCGTTATTATCCAGAGTACTTTTTCGCCATTAGACACTTTCTATCCGTTATGAAAAATACTAATGATAAATGATAATGTGTAATTTTCTTTTTCATTACATATTGGAGATGCGTTCATTGATTTCGTGTATCGTGTGCTGGGCTTGATTTCCGAACATCCTCAAGTCAAAATCAATCCAATGGAGTCTCTGTTAACTATATTTATCTCTAATTACCATGTTCCAAGATCACAGAGTTGATGACGCTTCTGTGAATTCACCAACAAAACGTCGAACTTGAGCAAAGGTATACCAAGAAAACATCACGTTATTTGTATACGCAATTGAAGTTTGACCCCTAATCTGTATATTTCTTGTTTGCTCACAACTGAATTACATCCAATGATAAATAATTAATAATACTTGAACATACTAAATTTGCTTAACTCATTTTTCCTTCATAAATGATTAAATAAATTTAGACATTTAACATAGTAGTGCTATCCAATTTCAAGAAGTTGAATTAAAAAAAAAACTATGTGAATGACAGGCTGTAGATTTGTAAGGTGGTTTAAATAGGGATGAACAACTAAAGAGGTATAGTTCCGTGCAGTAAAAAGAACAGAAACACACAGTTGGTAGTATTTGAAATGACAGCTCAAAAATATACATAATTCTTTTCAATAATTACACGCAGTTTGTTGGGCGCCATACCTATATACATGTTTATATTTTTTTTAATGCACAGAACTGTAGCTCTCCAGTCGTTTTTTTTCCAGACCAGTGAGCTACAGGTCTACATCTATAGATACGAATGATATGATAAAAAAGTAATAAAAATAAAATAAGTGTAAATTTATTTTCTGTTGGAAAGGAGAGCAATCCTTATTATGATATTCAGATAATTTTGTACAAGTATTAAAACATTGAAACACTATGCCTTTGCCTATTGATAATGTATATTGTTGGTTTGCTGAGGGCCAGTGTAACCAAAAAATGATTCTTTAAGGAAAAACTACTCACTTTACCGACATAAACTGACATTAATCTGCACGAAATGTAAATTATCATGATTCTGAATAAATGTATTAGCCTTTCAGGTTTATCTGGGATTGATTTTTTATCCATCGCTAATTCAACGCTTGGTAAGCACTTTTCTTATAAATATAAAATTTCAATAGCGAAACGTTCGTTATGGGCTAACACTCTCATTAAATCGTGACCTGTTGGCTGTGATTGGTATTTTATAATGGTCACAGATTTTTTTTCGTTATTGGATTTTCTATTTATTTCAGCTCTGTGAACATATCCAGGACGGGGATAAATGGGGAGATAACCATTTAGATTTGTTGTGACATGATTCGTCAAAAAGTTGTTCCTTAATATTTTTATTTGGGTTCTTTAATTATTGTCTTTGTGTACTTGGGTACATGTAATTGTATAAATATATTGATGATTATAAATTTTAAAAAAGCTTTTTTCTAAAGCATTTATGGTTTATTTTTACACTGATTTTTTTTTTATTTATTCATAATTTTATTTATAAAACAAAGCAGCAGTCGGAATTTGCGATGACCTTATGACCTTTCCAAGCCTGCGAACAATATTGAATTTTTAGCTGTTTTGTACGTTTATATGTAGGAGTATATACTTGCTGTTTTTTGTCTGCAATAACTTTTCCTTATGGAAATGAATGTCTCTTCGACTTATTTCAGTCAGTTTAAAAGTACTGTCAACGCTAAAAATATACATGTATGTGGCAATTTTCAAGAACATTTTCTCTATAATGTGATCTATGACTATCCAATAATGCAGGTTGTTAATAAGCTTGACAGAAATCAGGGGTGTAATATTACAAGCAATATCTTATAAACCTGGATAGTTGAACTGACAGGTTTAATAAATGGATCGCTTCTTGTTTCATAGAATGGTCAACTGAAGATCAAACATTGTGCCAAAAAGATTCAGACATTTTACATTATGGTGCCAGGACGGTGTCTTATCAGGAAACATTCTTGGTCTTGTATATTTTGATCAACATCTTTTGCCTTCTCATAGATTGTAATTGCATAATCAACACGGCACACAGCAAATGTCTTCGTTGTGTCAAATAAAAAAAATACAAACCAGGCTTTCAGTTCTAAAAAAAAATGGTTTGTTAAGGATCATCTAATCATTTTAAGATCAGATATTTCAACAATCTGTAGGAATCCCATGGGTACCAAGTGGGCCCCGTTATTAGCAGACCTTTTTATGATATGATGTGATATGAAGCTGAATTTATTCAAAAACTTATACACGAGAAGAAGAAGACCCCACCTCTGATGTTTTTAGAGGTCCGTGTTTGCTCTGCTCCCGGTTTGCATTGTTTCAATGGACTTTTGAGCTTGATTACTGTTCGTTATCTCCATATTTCATTGCATATGTACACTGAATAGAGCTGGTTGGTTTGAGAGATTTTAAATAACGGACTATTATATAATGATTTTTCACAGGTGTTACGATTACATCAGAGAGGTGCACTTCAATCGCCTTTTATTTGATTCATTTTAATTTTTTGCGTACCTGTTTGGAAATAAAGTTATACTTTACAAAGTTCTCCCAAGTAAAAAGCCATTTAATTGTCAACGGATTGTGTATGCACTCTGCCATCTGTCTGAAAATAATTATCTCTCATTATAAATCCCCCCCCCCTTCTTTTTTGTAAGGAAAAACAATATGATCCGCGAAGCATGCGGAAAAAAATCTGCCAATGATTAAAATCAGTCTCCATCAAAAACAATGCTCCGTGCCCGAAAAAAAGAACCTGTATTGATGTAATTTCAATGAAATGAAACACTTTGAAAGACTAGATTAACTCTGAGTTGCCTGATCCTTTTTCATACCTTTACAATCGCTTTATTGGCGATCTGTCGTTGACGATCACCAAACAGTTGTCTTTTTTTCATTTAAAAGTCGTTTCGATGCTAATAAATGAAGTTTTTAATTTTAAAAATGAGTAGTTTATGCTTCCAAGAATGTTGGATACCAATAACTTTCAATATGGGTAAATTGCAGGCCCTAGCAACGGTTTCAGAGGTGTGTATGGGGGGGGGGGGTGAAAAAACCTAACTGTCCAAACGAAAAGCTGGAATTGGCCAGTGCTCGACCTTACAGCAACAAAAAATGAGGAAGGGGGGGGGACATCTAAAAAAAAAATAAATTACTCTAGCAAAAGTTTATACATGTACTCAGAAAAAGTTGGGGTGGCCCCCAATGCCACCCCCCCCCCCCCCCCCGCGTTCTACAGGCCTGAATTGTATAAAATAAAATAAAGAATAAATAAACGATTTCAAAGTAAGAAAATTCGATGTTAGGAAGAAATGAGCCCAAATTAAGTCTTTTCTGATATTATCTTTCCCAACATTATGTACAACTGGTCAAACTCCAGCACATACAAAACTGTTTAAACATACCCCCTTACAACACCACACTTTCTTTTTCCATATTTTTACCTGCGTTTGTAGCAATATTTCACACATATATCTCTCTTCCTTGGCTACTTAATTAATAAAGCAAAGCATTCATAACGTAAATTATAGAAGAAAAAAACATAAATAAAATATATTTTAATTAATAGCCTTTCTCCGTAGTTATATTTATTTTCATAAGTTACATTTTAACAGGGAAGGTAAAGTACGTTTTGAAAATGCAGAAAATAAGAAAGCATAGAAATGATATAGGGAGTGAAAGCAGATAAGATAGGGAGATGCATAACTAGAGAAAGAACTGAAAAAGTACAGCAGATATTACGTTATCATTTTTGACTGTCAAAAAGGATAAAAAGTAATCAGTGTTTGTGACATTTTATGGGTATTTGAAAATACTGCATGTCATGTAGATGGGTGAAAATAATTTTAAGAAAACTTTATTTTTTGGATAGAATATCTCTAAAATTGTAATTTACGTTATCAATATATTTCTGAAAGAAAATTGGTTTAGAACTTTCACAGTTTCTTTCTCTAATTTAATTAAATTTAAAATCATCCGCCTTTCTTTATGATTCATAAACGGTAAAAAGCTGCTTTGGTCGTTTTCAGGTTAGGAAAGGGAGGGGGCTGTCCAATATACAAGCCTGAGTGTTAACGTTTAGGGTCAAAATAAATCATTCACGAGGAAGCGATGACGTAAGGTGAGCACTGCGATCCATGGCCATTGGGCCTTTAGTCATCCGGAATTTAGGTTGTCTTCAGGTCAACTTTTATTCTATCATTGTAAACATCCGTTGGATGCCGTTGGTCGACTTTCGGTTTCCGTCATCAAGTGTGAAGTGTCCATAAGATGGAGGACGCAAAGTTTTCATTGCAGCTTTTGACATTGAATTGCTGGTATACCTGTGTATTGAATGATTTCTTAATATTATTATTTACACATCTTTTTCAGATCGCATTTCCTCTGTCTTCGTACTCGTAGCTACTTTTCTAATTTTTTCTTGAACGTACATATAGAATAAACTGAACCAAACTGAATATTTATATTGGAAGTTTCAATCAAATTTAAATGTATGAATATTTGTTAAACGTAAAAAAATATTTCTGATTGTTTATTTGGTAAATCATCATTTTCCGTGTGCATTTCTTGAGGGTATATTTAGGGGTGTACCGGTGCCATTTGCATGCAAGTACAGAAAAGAGAGATTCCAGGCCATTGCTGAGGAAATTGGAAAGGGGCGATATGATATAGTTATACTGCAAGAGGTACTTTTCTTCTGTTAACATTGAGAAACCTAGCTTATATCCAAAAGAACAGGAGTTTGAAATTTTATCAATAAAGCCAATGAAAATCACATTATTGACCAAGCCATGAGCTATGCATTAGCATAGCGATCTTTTAACTATGATAATGCATAGTTCAGAACTTAATTGGTCAATTGAGTCATTTTTATTGACTTTATTGATAAAATTTCAAACATGTGTATTATATACTAACGAGATAGACAACTTCTTCAGCAGTCATGTGATGAAATGATTGTCACCGATGATTCTTGATTGCTCAGAGCTCTTAGATGCTACTAATGGATTACTAAACAAAAGTCACTGACAAAAATATATAGGGTTAGTGTCTTTTGGGTGAAGACACTTAAGGAGGGAGGAATGTGGTGGTCAGGCAGGTTTGATTGCTGATTGATATATAGCTGAGTTGGTAGAGCACCTGTCTAGAGTTGAGGGGTGTGTGTTTAAATCATGGTCCAGTCTATCGTATTTTTTCCCTTCCTCTTACAATTCTGGATTAAATTAACTTTTGAAATGTTGTGCATTAACTCAACAAATGTGCATGCAAGATGAATAATACATCAAAGCTAACCAGGTTACCTCTGTAGTGTGAAATGACCCAGATATATCTCTCTCCCCACCCACAATACTGTAAATATATGTTCTTCCACAGATCATAATTCTGCTGAATCACAATTTCTCTTTAATCTGCTCTTAGAAAATTAAGGGACTTCTTAGATTGCCACCATATGCCTTACATGTACTTTAGAAAATTTGTGACCATGTACATAGGGTAAATTAATACCAGGAGGAAAAAAGTACTTCTACAGTATCTTTCCAAAGTATAATATGACATATTGTAGTATCATTTGGCATTGTGGCATTATTTGACATTTATCGTATTTTTACTTATGTTAATACTGAAGCATTGTTTTTGTATAAAGGTGTGGACTGAAGGAGATTTTAAACTTCTGCAGCAACATATATTGAAGGTGATGCCATATTCTCATTATTTTCAAAGGTAGAGTTGAGTTCCTGTGAAGTTATGGAAAACTTATATTTAAAAAAAAAGTCACCTCATGCTTGATAAACAGGGCTTCTTTTAATGCTAATGTAGACTTAAATCCTGGTATAACAAATGAACTTGATAATAAAATGATTCTTAGCATAATGATACACAAAATTTTCATTACAAAGTAATTTTTCAAAGTGATAGTTGTACGTAATATGTATAATTTTATTGATGGTTTAAGTGGGACCATTGGGAGTGGTGTCTGTGTTTTCTCCAAGCTTATGATTGAGGATTCGTTTTACCACTTATTTCCCCTGAACGGATACTTTCACAAGGTCCAGCATGGCGACTGGTTTGGTGGAAAGGGTTTAGGTCTTTGTCGAGTGACCTTTCAAGGCCTTAGTATCAACATTTATTGCACACATGTAAGCATTTTTCAATGTAAACATCCATTGATGGATAGAATATGCAGTAGAAAATGAAACCTATAATCAATTTTAGAAAATCATTTTCAAGATCATTTTTAAAAATTTTTACTGCATTTTTACTAGATCATGTAGATAGTGTAGTTGAACTTTGATAATGCAGATATTAACAGTACAATCTTACAATGTATATCACTGGAAAGTAATTTTTGTACAGAATGGCTGCTTTCAGCAGTATTGCTTCAGATAATACAATTATTTGATATATATACTTACTCATCTTTTGCTTTAACTGATTCAAATTCATTTCAGAACATTATATTCTCACTTTATAAGGGGCATTTCAGCAAAGAAATCTAAGACATACTCTTTTGCAGTTGCTCAATATCTCTAGACTGAAATAACTCTAGGAATATAAAATTTGAGTAAAGAAAACTTAAAAAAATATACCTTTTTTCTACTGAAATACAGTCATGGCTGAGTTAGATATATTGCATTGATTCTGGGGTAAAACAGTATTGTTTTTTGTTGTTGTTTTTTTATATACACTTTTTACATAGAACTCATTGCAAATAAGGCTGTCCAAAGTTAATTTTATGTTTAACATATCACCCACACATATATACCTACATAAATTTCATTAGTTATGCTGTATTAAGGTTGAAAATCTCCCTCAAAGTGGGGCACCCTAAGTGTTTACAAGATTTTGTTTCTTACCTTTAGTATTTTTATATACTATAAAGGGTGAATCTTTAAAACTTGACAAAAACAGAAAATGATGTCAGATATCAAAATATTGGTATGATAGACTAGGAATTCATGAACATTTGCTAAGTTATCATGTCTGATAAAATTCTAAGAAAGGGGGGGGGGGGTGTTACACCAACCATTTGTCAGGTGCTTGTGATTTGCACTTGATAAAAACAAACAAATCGGTATTTTTTTTCAAGTTTCTATTCCAGTTTTCTTTTACCTTTAGCAGCTAAAAGCTGCACTCCACAATAATACACATAGAAATACACGACTGGGTCCTGTATGAGGTATATTTGGGATGAGTCTATCATTTAAACTGACAGATTTACTGAAAATTGTCATTAAACACTAAATCTTCATGATGCACAAATATTTTAAAGTATTTTGATTCATATAAATGAGTAGAAATTCCTTTGTCTGAAATTTTTGTTTGTTTTTTTTTTTAAATTTTCTCCCTCCCTTGTAGATTTGAAGTTTTTAGGTGACATTAAACGTAGAATAAAATTCAGCCAGCCTGAAGATAAAATGATTTAATTTTTTTTTTTGATATCTATAAATTCCTGCTTTGATTTTTAGATTTCATTAATATTAAATGACATATAGCATTAGCTACACAATGCAAGTCTTCATGCTAGGAAGTAAGGCTGATGATTTGTGAAGTCTTTGTATTTACCAGAAAATCGGAATATAAATGACAAAGATACTTTTGTGTCCTACGTGTATTTGACATACATGTATATAGATACTTCTTCAAAGCAGTGAATTCTGTAGTATACTGTGTCTGTGTACTTTCTGATTAGGTGGACTATTGTTCGTTTTTAATTTATTAGAATGTAAATTCTTTTGATCTAGAAATTTGAAGGGAATAATATCTGACTTAATGTAGATTTCATTATTCCTAACATGTGAAGTGTTGATTTCTTGTTACAGTTACATGCTGAGTATGACATGGCGTCTGATGAATATATCGCTCATCGTGTCGCTCAGGCATTTGACATGAGTCAGTTCATCAAGTACACCTCAGAATCCTGTGATGTAGTCATTGTTGGGGGTGACTTTAACCTGCGACCTTCTGACCTGGGATACAAATTGATCATGACAAATGGCAATTTGCATGACTGCTGGCTAGCAAAGGTATAGTTTATTGGTTCATGTGGAAAACCTGTGTTGATGTGTATATATTCATATTTCAAATCAATATTCCATTTAAATTTCAGATTAGGATTGATCATTTAGACTGCTTTTTAGTAAATTCTTACCGTGATGTCTTGTTATGTAGATATTTCTCAGAAATGCATAAAGATACACTTCATGATGAAAAAAAAAAGATTGATTACCGTATATATTTATTTATGCTTTTATGTGATGTTGTTAGCTCCTATAGCTCTAGCAGTTAGTCATTTTTTGAAAGAATAAGATGTTTCCTTCTTTCTCAATTCTCAGTATGAAATTTGATTCATACAACAAGTAGCTTTTATTTCTGTGGGAATATCTAACCAAATTTTTCTAATTGTCAAAACAAAAAGCTTAAAGTTCACTGTAATGACAGTGTTCAATGGCATTTAGGCTAAACTTTATCAAGATCCCAAAAGCACTTATCCAAATCAAATGGAAAAATTCAGGGTAAAACCATTAAAGATCATTAGTCAGTAATCTAGTACAAAACCTATATTTACACATTTTAGAATTAAAACTCAATAACACTCAATATGCTCCTGAGGGGAGGGAGTATTTCAACTCATCAGCTTCCCTTAGATCCATTAAAATTATGCACCAAATGGTACCCAAAACGATTCAGATATGTTTTGACAATACATTGCACTTGGAGATAACAATAACATACTCACATTGGAAATGTACATCTTTTGTTATCTTTAGAGAATTAAAAATAAATGTAATGTCTGGAATGGTTCAAAATCAAAAACTTGAAATGTCAAGAATAATTATAATAAAATCTTCGTAAATAATTTAAAAAAAAAAATCATCAACTGAGATAAATCAGTTATTTGATATGTTTTGTGTTGTGCCTTTGATATTTTTATTTAGAATGAAGAAAATGAATCAGGTCACACAAATGAGAGAAAAGACAACAGCTTCAGCACACACAATGTTCAGAGGTTTGAACCAGTAGGAAGACGACTAGACTACCTCCTGTATAGGGTCAACCAAGGTCAGTGTACGTTTATAGGTCAAGGACATACAGGTGATAAGTGTTTGAGAGACCTTCAGATAAACACAAAGGGATAGTACTTTTTAGCTCACCTGAGCTGAAAGCTCAAGTGAGCTTTTCTGATCACATTTTGTCTGTCATCTGTCTGTCCGTCCATCTAGCTGTCCACCTGTCTGTAAACTTTTAACATTTTAACATCTACATGTATGAGGGGCATTTCAAAAGTTCTGGCAACTGGTGTGCGGTAAATTAATGAGTGTCATTATCATAAATTAAATTATATCAATCCCTCAAAATAGTCTCCGTTGACCTGGACACACTTTTTCAGTCTTGAAATCCACGTGGAAAATGCTGCCCTATAGTCCTCTTTCGGTATACGCTTCATACACTGGAATACAGCATTTCTGACTGCATGACGACTTTCAAATCGCCATCCTCGGAGGGCTTCTTTGATAACGGCATTCAACCAAAAATCGCATGGAGCTAGGTCAGGACAGTAGGGTGGATGTGGTAAAACGGCAATACCATTTTCCTTTAAATATTTGGTTACTTCCTCTGATCTATGGGCAGGTGCATTGTCATGGAGGAGCTTTATTCCTCTAGTACTGGTTGTTGGTCGGGTCGTTTTATAGTGCTCTACAACCTGAGACAAGATATTCTCTGCATAAAATTGACCAGTAACACTGCTGTGTCCTGGAACCGGAACTTGAGCAACAGGGCCTTTAGAATAAAAAAATAAGGCATACATTACTCTCCGAACAGACCGGTTTCTGCGTGCAATTTGAGGCCTTGTATCATTTTCACCAATCCAAACTTTATTATTGAGCTTAGTTTCCGGTTCAAAAAAATATATCCATGTTTCATCACCAGTTACAATCTCATTTATTCGCCTTTGGTCACAATCTTCATAAATTGTTAGTAACTGTGAAGCCATTTCTACCCGGATGCGCTTTTGCTCTTCCGAGAGAAGATGCGGCATTCATCTAGCACAGACTTCCCTAAGCTTTAAGATTTCCTTTAAAATACGAAAAACTGCTGACGAATTAATGTTAGTTAAGTCTGCTATTTCCTCAACTGTATATCTAGCATCATCAGCTATCGTATTTTGAACAGCGACGATTTCTTTTTCGCCATATGCACAAACTGGACGCCCCGAATGGGGGTTATCTTCAATTGATTTTCTACCCTCTTTAAATTGAACTACCCATCTTGCTATTGCTCGATATGAAACAGCATGCTCTCTATATACTACATCTAAATCGGCTTTTATTTCTGTTGCCGCAAAGCTAAGCAATGAGTGAATTTTGCAATACGCTCTTTGCTCAACAAAAAAATTGTTCTCCTTATCAGTCATTTTTACACCCAGTATACAGAGTATACCTATTTTAGCAGACCTATACGTCATTTTGAATGTAAAATGACATCACTACTAATGCATATTTGTCTAAGCTTTACAGTGGTATCAGAGTCATTTTAATCCGTAACGTAGTTAAAATTTTATATACCAGTTGCCAGAACTTTTGAAATGCCCCTCGTAGCTGTCTGTCTGTTTGTAAACTTTTAACATTTTCGACTTCTTCTCAAGAACCAATGCGCCATTTCAACCAAACTTGCCACAAAGCATCCTTGTGTGAAGGGGATTCAAGTTATTCAAATATAGGACCACACCCTCTTTCAAGGAAAAATAATTAAGAATAGTGAAAATTTAATGGCATCTTTCAAAAATCCTCTTCTAAAAACCACTTCACCACAGTGTTAAATAGTTTGATACTGGTACAACATATGTGTCTTAATGGAATATGTGTATGTTTGTACTTTCAAGGAGTGGAGGTGGAAGTGTCCAGCTGTAAACTTGACTTCGGGAAAATTCCAGACAAGCCATACAATTACTCTGACCATGAAGGAGTCACAGCACTCTTACAAATCCAGAGGAAAAAAGGTACGTTCAAAGCCAAAAGTCCTCAAGTTTGAAAAAGGTGGGTCACAATTTGTGACACATCCAGAGGAGTAAAGGTGAGTCAAACCTTGCTACACAGTTATAGAGAAAAGATGGGTCTCAGTCTGTATACATATAGAAAAAAAATGATAATAACAGCTCATTCACACATCTATAAGGAAAAAGGTGGGTTACAGCTTACTAATTGTTTAAGGACACATCCAGAGGAACTGATAGGTCACAAGTAGGTCACAACATGCTACTCACTTAGAGGAAACTAGTAAGACAGCAAAAAGGGAAGAGAAAATTGACTGTAAGTAATATATAAATGTACATATACTTTAGTAGCCTTTATAGTGTATTGACTGTCATTTTTTTTTTTTTACAACTTTTCATTCCAAGGGGCACAACTCTTAAATATCATCTACATGTTCATTGAAATCTATTCACTGGATTTTCAATCTGTTTTAAATTTCCTTGTAATAAAGAAAACATCTGTAATTGAAAAAAAGGAAAAATACTAGCTGCAGAACTGTACCTCTCTAGGAAATAAAATTTGGACATACCCCCCGGTAAATATTACATGTATCTTTGGTATGATCGACTGTCCATGTTTTATTTCCCAGAAAACTACAGATCTGCAGCTAGAAAAAAATACCTGAATACATACAAAAGACTGTCAGTGATCAACAGCTGTCAATGATCAACAGCTGTCAGTTATCAACAGCTGTCAGTGATCAACAGCTGTATACTGGAGTCTTGTGCAGTTCCCTGCCAATCTTAGATATTAAATATTGTTACAGGTTCTCTTCCATCTCCGGAGACAAGAGACGAAAACAAACTATACGACCTTCTCTTGGAGTCTAAGACCATTGTACAGAGTGGCTTAAAGAAGGCCAGATCTGACAACCTTTTCTACACCATTCTGTGTGTGGTCTGTACTGTTGCTCTGTATGGGTTCTGGTGTACAGAGATGGAGAGAGAGAGTAGTCATCTAGTCGTCATTGCGAGGGCCGTTACTTTTGTTACCTTGACTTTATTGGTTGCTTTCTTCCTGTTTTACAAGCTGATCATCAATAAGATTGAATTCAAAGGTCTAACGGGAGCAGAGAAGGATATAAATAACCTATTGTATAGTGTGAAGAAACGGATCAAACAGAACTAAGCACATTGTTATCGTACATTCCAGAATCTACATGCTAAATGTGTGAAAAAGCATAATTATTGTACAATCTTTTTTATTGTCTATAGAGTTTATTTGTAACATCAGTCTGAGTTATTTATTAATTTACTTTTCATTGTATATTTAAAAATTTTCAACATTCCTGTGATATATTATTTGATCTTTTGCCTATTTATCCTTGCTGTAGGATGATACTAAGGCACCGAAATCCAATGGCATATTTTTCACTGTGATGTAAACTGACCAATTTTTGCATAAGTATAATTTATTGCTATGGATGTAGAGCAAAAATAAATGAAGTTCTGTATTCAACTTTTGTTAGTTTTAAGTTCTGATCAAATGTGTCATTGAAAGGAAAACAAAATTTTAACGAAGATCAATGATTCAGTGTTTGCATGGAACCAGCTGGTTTGCAGGTGATTTATGACTGTTATTTATTCATTAGATAGTGACACACATACACTTTTTAACCTTTTTAAAGATTTCTCTGAAGTGGCTGAATCAATCTCAACCAATTTTCAAACTGGTATTAAGCATCCTTAAGGGAAGGGAAATATTGTGATTTTCATGGTTTTAACTTCTTCTTTTCTCTGGACATCAATAAATCAAACTGCTTGTGTAATAATATGAAACATTTAAAAGGAGCAATTAACCCTCTACCCAAATTTTAAAATTATAGCCTGTTGGTCCACGTTTTGGGCTTTACAGTGAAATTTGGTCATATATCAAAATCAAATTGTTAAACCTGACACATAGCAACCAAACTGATTGCCTGATGATTATATAAATGAGCAACAGGGAATCTATCAACATTCAGAAATTTATGTCCCTGTTTCAGGTCACAGGATGCGGCCAAGAAGAGGCCCATTGGGCACAGTACTCACCTGAGTGATATTGATCCCGATGTTCAGAATATTTAAAAAGAATTTTCCCTCTATTTTTTCAATTTTTTTTCTCATATATTGTAGCCCATTCATAGCCCTAGGGGCTCATGACATAAGCAAAATTGGATACGTATAACACTGGGTTCTATAATATTAACTAACCTGGCCTTGATATTCTAGCTAAGATTTTTTCTGTGCCTATGAATTATACAAAATTTTATCCCCAACTTTAGCCCAAGTTAACCCCAGGGTCCATAGTTCAAAAAAAAAAAAATCATATAGCTGGGGATCTTGCATATCAATATGATTTGGAATGACCCTAATAATCTTGAAAAGAATTTTACATTTTCGATATATTCTCATATAAACTTTGATCCTCCTTTGTGGCCAGCCTTAGCCCTGGAGGATATGATTTGAACTAATAAATCTGTACTACCTGAGATGCTTGCATACCCCAGTATATAAACCTAATCATGGCCCTGCTGTTCTTAAGAAGAAGATTTTTAAAGATTTTTATGTCCCCGTAATTGAAGATTTGGGGGCATATAGTTTTTGCCCTGTCCGTCTGTCAGTTTTTCTGGAAAAACTTTAACATTGCCCATAACTTTTGATTTGTTGGAGCTATGGCTTTCATATTTCACGTGCATTCCTTGTGACAAGACCTTTCTTTAGATACCATCATATTTGACCTTCACCTTGGAGTTTAACCCAGTTTTGCAAAATTTTACCCAACTTTAATCTTGGCAATAACTTTTGAACAGTTGGTGCTAGGGCTTTCATACTTCACATGTGTAATCCTTATGACAAGTCCTTCCTTTGAATACCAACAACTTTGACTCTTTGACCTAGGAGTTTGACCTACTTTTGAAAAACTTTAACCTTGGCCAAAACTTGAGAACAGTTGGTGTTAGGGCTTTCATATTTCACATGTATTTCTTGTGTGAAGACCTTTCCTTGGGCACCATTAATTTAGACCCTTTGACCTTGACCTTAATGTTTGACTTACTTTTGAAAAACTTAAACCTTTTCTATATCTATTCAATGGTTGCTGCTAGTACTTTCACATTTCACAGGTATATTCCTTGAGACAAGGCATTACATTGGGTAGCAACATATTTGACTTGCATTTGAGAAAGTTTAACCTTCGCTATAAATTGCCATAAGTGGGCATCAGTGTTTCACAAACACATCTTGTTTTCCTCTTATATTCCCATGTAAAATTTTGATCCCCTATTGTGGCCCAACCTTATCTCAGGGGGCCATCTTTTGAAAAAAATAGCATCTATTTTTTGCAAAGGCACTTTCACAAAAGTTTCATCATTTTTTACCCAGCAATTCTTAATATTTTTAATAATATTTTTCTATCTAGTAATCACCTATTTAGGCCCCACCCTATCCCTGGGACCAACAATTTGAAAAAAAAACCCCAGAATCTGCCTCACTTGAGGATGCTTATAAATTAAAGTTGATAATAATGGTCTTCCTGTTTTTAAGGAGAAAGTTTTCCCTGTATACCTGTATATATTCTTTTATTAAACTTTGATCCCCTATTGTAGTCTCAACCTATTCCTCGTTGATAAAAGTTAAACAATTTAGAAGCTAAAAAAAATTCAAAGATGCAAGTTTCATATTTAATTAATCTTTTATGTATTCTTGTATTTACATGTGTAAATGGTGCTGTGGCAATGTCTGTATATGAGAAAGGCAAAGCACTCTTTCATAAATAAAGTTTATAATGATATTGCACTAGATCATGGTCCTCGTCCATTTTACTCTGGGATCTGAAAATAAAAAATAAAATACATATTTTTGAGATAAGGAAACATGAAATATAATACAAATTTGTTGTTGTTTTTTTTCTGTGGGAGTCATGATTGTTTTTAATGTACACTTAACTGTAGATACTTACTTACATGTACCTATCTGTGTCTGTCTTTGGATTTACTGGAAGGTGTTGCTTTAAAATGCTGATAATAGCTTACAGTCACGTCCACCATTAGATCTTGAGTACATTCTGGCAACTCTTCAGTAAATCGTCCTATTTGATCAAATATACAATTAAAGGTCCATAACAAAGATTTCTGTTTCAGAAATGAAACTGTTCTCTATTCTAGATGGAGGAAACAATATTCATACTGAAGTCAAATGTACGCACCAGGTGAACCTGAGAACACAGTAAAGGGAGGGACCACTGTCTCTGGGGGTAGTACTGTATTGTCAGCTATAGCACAGCAGTCCTTCAACACACAGCGTCTGCCCTAAAAGGACAATGGAAACTTAGTACTGTTGCTGGATAGATTATGTTACAATATGAAACAATCTGAAAATCATATCAAGTTGTATGCAGGTATGCTTTTTGTATGCCTTTTCCTACTTTTTGCATGCTTTGCTCTTTGTTCAACACTTTACATAGAACATAATTTCCATGGTGAAAAATCTTTTAAAATACATGTACTATGGAGTATGGAAATCAACCAAGTTGTAATATTGTAACTTATACTGCTATAAACACAGTCTAAGAAGATAGAGACTTAGACTTACTATAACACAGTTTTTCCCTATATGAACGTAATTCCCAACTTGAGCTGCATTTACAACAGAATCTTCTTCTATAAATACATGATCTCCAATGTGAAGTGGAAAGAATGCCACTCTGAAAGAAAAATACTATAAGTAGTTAACAGTACTTTACTATATATTGAAAATAATTGTATAGATTGGTTGCAGAAATCCATTTAGAAACAAGATGTATTTGTGAAACAATGATGCCCCCGTATGACAGCTTATGGCAAAGGTTAAAGTTTCACAAATGCAAGAGATCAAGAGATCAAAAATGTTGTTACTCAAAGAAAGAACTTGTGTCAATGGATAAACTTGGTAAATATGAAAGCCCAAGCATCAACCATTCAAGGTTATTATGGTCAAGGTTAGTGTTTTCTTAAAGAGGGTCAAACTCCAAGGTCAATGTCAAAGAGTCAAAATTAATTGTATGCAGGGGAAGACCTTGTTTTTTAAAAGTGGGTTAAGGTCAAAGTCAAAAGGCGAAAAATATTTACACCTGTGGAAAGGTCTTGTGACGATAAATACATGTATGAAATATGAAAGCCCTAGCATCAACTGTTCAAAAGTTATGGCCATGGTTAAAGTTGGGTAAATTTTTGCAAAAGTGGGTTAGACTCCAAGGTCAAGAGGTCAATTATGTTGGTACCAGAAGGAAGGTCTTCTCACAAGAAATACACATGTGAAATATTAAAGCAATAGCTCCAAACAATCAAATGTTATGGGCAAGGTTAAAGTTTTTGCGGACAAACAGAATAACAACAGACAGACAGACAGACGGATTGACAGGGCAAAAACTATATAACCCCGAATCTCCGATAATGGGGGCATAAAAAAATGATCAAAACATACCATGCACCTTTATCTACTACATCTAATCCTGTATGATATACACTTACCCTTTACTGAATTTTTTGAATGGTGGCCTTATTACTGCCCTTTTACTGACAACACAATGTCTTCCAATTCTTACATTGGCTAAGTCTCCACGAATAACACAATCTGTCATTATTATAGTCTACAAAATACAAAACTTTTTTATATGATATGGAGATGAATGACTGGTAGATATCCTAGCTCTTTAACAATGCTCAAATTGCTCATCCCTCCAACACAGGGATGGGGTTGGAGTCCAACATATTTTAGTAACAATGCAAGAAGTCTCTACTAATCAAACTCTTTATTCTCCAATATCAAAAAGCGGTAGATTCACCTCAACAAATGTAATCTATTATAGTGAAACAGTGTGTGTAATAAGCATTTTTTGATAGTTAATTCAATAACATGCAAATATCATTTCCTTTCCTTTCCTTTAGTGTAGATGCATATATTGATCTGGAAAATATAATATCTGAAGAAAGTAGTGTTTCAGAATAGGACGAAAAATACTAGACTATTGACTATCGAATCGGGAACACCATTTCGATTCATAATCGAAAATAATCGGACATTTCTTATGTTTCTTTTTATTTACATTATTAAAGGCACGGTATTGTGTTTTAATATATATTAGTTATTGATAAGTACACATGTAGGCCAATTAATATTTCAGTTTTAATGAATCTGCTAGCTGATTATTCTATAATTTTTTAAGGAAAGAATTACACTTGCTAAAATTTAAGTTCAAATAAAAAGAATTTTAATAGTATATTACTATTAAACTGATAACTTAATAAACAATGTGTTTCATTTTTTATGACATCTTTCATGTTTATATTAAACATTTGATCAGTTGATAAATTTGTTTAAATTTTTTTATTTTTAAAAGATGATAAATTCTTGACTTTCTTTTTTTTTTTTTTTTTAATTTATTCCTATTTATATAAAAAGAAAAAAGTAAAAGTTCAACAAGTTGTCTACCTTCATAAACATTCATATTTGAATTTATTCAGAGAAATAATTTACAATATTTTAAAAACAGCATATGGGTATACACAATAAAAATACCACGTACTACTTCTTGTGAATTCGTTATATACATGTATAATCTAAAAAGCAGTAGGTTTGTGTTTGACTTCTGACAGTTTAAACTTTGAAAAATAATACACAAAATGTGAGTGGAAAGTTGAAAATATCGTTTCAAGAGTGAAAGCAGAGGAAATTCAGATTAAAAGACGATGTTTTAAAGGACTTATTGCATGTTTCTAAATTATTTGAAATTAAAAGCGTAAAACATTCCTTATGACCACAGTTTATAAATTTTGTGTTTTTACTGAGGATAAACTCTTAATAGCTATATTTCGTCGTCAATTCTTTTGTTGCCTAAATGATTGTTTTAATGGAAGGGAATTTTATTTTGATTTAGTCATGATTACAATTTTCAAAGCATTTTTACGAATCATTCACTGACTCGGTATTTAGTCAGACGTCGAACAGAAACTCGTTGTAAATATGTGTGCACATGGAAAATAGGAAAAGCCAGAGTAGCATTCCTGCAACTTGGAAACATCTGGGAGACCAAGGGAATTACAACACGCACCAAAGTTAGGCTTTTTAATAGCAATCTTAAGGCAGTGCTTCTATATGGTTCTGAGACATGGAGGATGACTGTTACCACAACAAACAGGATCCAGACATTTGTCAACTCTTGTCTGAGACGCATCCTCCAGATCAGATGGCCCGACAAAATCAGCAACATCAATTTGTGGCAAAGAACAAACCAAGCCCCTATAGAACAGGAAATAATGCAGAGAAGGTGGAGGTGGATAGGGCATACTCTACGCAAGCCCAACAATAACATCACAAGGCAAGCCCTATCCTGGAACCCCCAAGGAAAACGTAGGAGAGGTAGGCCAAAGAACACCTGGCGGAGAGATCTAGAGGCAGACATTAAAAGAATGGGCAAGAACTGGAAGGAGGTTGAAAGCACTGCTCAGGATAGAGGGGCCTGGAGGAATCTTGTCTGCGGCCTATGCCCCAAAAAGGGGTAGCAGGCATAAGTAAGTAAGTAGGAAAATGTACAGAAAATAATCAGTGTATCATCTTTGTACAAACGAAAAAAGGGAACACTATATGAAAAAAAGATAATATATATAAAGATTCAGCATTATGTTTAAAGTAGCTATAATATAGCAACTATCGATTTTGCTGCTATGCAGCTATGCTATAGATTGTCGGCATCGCCAACCTTCCATCGACGATTTTTTGATAGTCTGTGACTGTCGCTGAATCACTAGAAGCAAGACTTCAGTAGTAATTCATATCACTTATGCAAATTTACTCCAGGTTGAGGTTTAATAATATAATTACATGTACTTCGGAATGGAGTCAATAGACTTGCTTAAAAAACTTTGACCTAGCCACTATCCAGAGAATATAGGTAAGATGCAGTATTTGAAGCTTGAACTAATATGATAATAAAAATCCCTCTATGCATAAACTTCAGAGGTAGACCTTACAAAAATATGAAACAGACATATTGTAAAACCAAGTCCTGTCATGTCAATTATTTCTCTGCAAGTTACATCCTGCACAATTTTAGTTTAATTCCAACAGAACATAGATGATTATCATTCATTCTTGAACATTTGACTTGTACATGAAAATATATGCTTGCATATCATTAATAATTGTAATGCTAGAGTTGCATATGTATTTATAGATGGATGTTATGGAGTGATGTTGTTTCAGTTACCAGTTCACAGATTTATATGACACAAAGATAGAAAAAATTACCTGGCACCATTCACTATATTCAAACATAATAATACATGTAAAACTTTTTTGGCAGTTTCTTTTCTCCCAGATACTAATTATTTAAAACTAAAAGAGTATTTTTATATTATTCATTTTAATAATAGTCACTTACTTTTCCATTAATAACTATATTCTGACTTCCACACAAAACAGACTGTCGACTCACTTTATTTCCTGATGCCTGTGGTAAAAAAGGTACAGTATATTCAATTTGCTATATAGAGCCATTATCTGTTGCGTCAGAGACATAAATAATTAAGAAATAAATAACAAGTTTAAAAACTTCAATGGGAATTGAAGTGGGTCGGTCACGTGATCAAATCCTGTGAAGGCCGAAGGCCTTCTCAGAAGATTTGATCATGTACCGACCCACTTCAATTCCCATTGAAGTTTTTAAACTTGTTATTTATTACTTATATATACATTTGAGACGGACAATTGAATGTAATCGAATATAAATATTGCACTAACTGTACGTCGTAGATTTTGACTAATTACGCTAGGTGTAAATCGGCTTGAAAAGCGGTTACGCTTCAAATTCATCTGGCAAAGGATTCTGTTTTGAAGGGAATATTCTGTGAAAGGTTACTTGTGATCAATTATAGTGAGCATATTGGTGTCTTGGAATTTTTGTATTCATGAGAACCCATATTCGATGTTTAAAAACACAAGAAACACGTCCGATGTTTGATAATAAAAAGTTGGAGGAATTTCGGTCGGAAAGGGATGGATGGAGACACTTGTCCGGACCAGATAACATGAAATCAAGTACGAAATTTGATCAAAAACATAAAATCTACGATTTAAGTAAGGCATATTTATTAATTTATGATGTTGACATGGAGACACTGGTGACAGCTTACATTGTTAAGACAACATCACAACGATCTCGATGATGGAGGTGTGCCTACCGAACTTCCAAAGTGCAGTGTTTGTCAGCTGTTTGTGGGGTGATTGCATTACATTGATATTTTTCAACAGATTTTCAAATTTATTGTGAGTAAAGTTTACTGAAAAAAAATTATATCATTCAGAGATCTGCAAGAAAAATAAGGGTAAACGTTGAGAGTATGCAGCTCAGACATGAAACTTATAACACGTAGTTTTCTATTCTCTATGTAAAATCGATCAAGAACTGTATTAAATACTCGTTTACATTGTAAATAAAATGATTATTATTTTACTTGCGTATTTTGTACATTTTTATGCATGAAAAACATGCTATATTGCTTAGTGGAGTAAGTCTTTTCATGTAGATATTACTGCTCTGTGTAATTAGGTCACGTAATGACCTATGACCTTCGAAAAACTTCATACAGGTATGAAGATATTTGCTCTCTGCATGTTTATATAATAGAGAGATACCACAAATGTGTATATTGCTAAATGTAAGTCTCTGGTTGCATGTTCACACTGATGATCATGTTGTGTTTATCATGTATACTCTTCAAAAATTATATCTTGTAACTTGTATAAAATCATATAAATGTTTATAGTTACAGCATAAGGAATAACATTTTCTACAATAAAAAAATTTATATTCACTATAAATTATCACTGATTGACCATTCTACAAAAAAGCAACTTGGGGAGATAAATAAAACATAGAGAAAATTCGAGCTACGTCATTTAGGAAAAATATCATAATGAAAAATATAACAAAGCTTTACTAATAAATACCGTTTCTATATACTCAGCATTATTATAAAATTCATCCTGTAGCTCCATCTGAAATTAAAAGATCGCCAATAAAGAATATTCCCCAGTTTTGTTTTTGTTTTTTTTTCCAAAATAGCGTTAAATAACTCAGTCAAATATGATTCGGGTTTCTTACTAGCTAATTTGTTCTTTGAATAATTCGTACCATCCAATGCGCATGCGCAAATACACGTGTTGACGTTTCCTACAGATGTCACCCACATGTAAACTTATCTAATCAATGTAAAGTTAAACGCGGCAGTGAAATGCCAATGACAGACTGAGTGGTGAATGAAAGGTATGCTTATAATGCTTCATCAAGAAGAATATTAAAGTTCATCGTTACCCTGATCAGATAGGGTAGGACATTCTTAACAAAAGTAAATGTTATAGTTTACATGTTTACAGTATTGTAATAGCCGTTAACAAAGTGAAACTATAGAAGTTTTAATTAAAAACATATAGACCCATTTTAGAAAATACATCACAACCAGAAAAGCTTTGTATAGAGTTAATCAGTATCTGAAAAATGGTGTGTTAGACATGACAATGTAAACGTTAACATGAGTAAATAGACTAAATAGACTAAATGTGTCAGCTATGAATTGTACAACTAAATTGACTTCAATCTGTTAAATTTAATATATATAGTATGCATTAATACTGATTTTATATGAATAGCATTAATAGCAAGTGCAGTGACTGTGAGCTCATAAAGCAAACCTGGGCAAAGAAAAAATTTGAACTGTGCAGATTGATCTGAATTCTGCAGCAACCTTGAGATTCACAATGCAGTGTGAATGCATCTCACTACAGAATTTTCCTTCTTGTGATGATAACAATTAAAAGTTCAACAAATGATTAACTTACCTTGATTTAATGGATAAAGCAACAGGTCATCTGTGAGATAAAAAATTATTCTCAAACTCAGTGATTAAGTAGATATTTATATATAGATTAAATGAATTTATACCTCAATGCTTTTGAGAAGTATTGTTTCTATATGTAGATACACAATAAATTGACACATATAATTATGTAATTAAGTTTATAATTAAAAAAGTACATGTAATTTGTTCTGTTACAGTATATTTCCCCACCATCTCTCCTTTCATTTTTCATGTGGTAAAAGGCTTAAGGATGAAGAATACTTAAAAATTTATGTTAGAGAAATGGGTAAAACAGTTTGCACAGGCTTAATTATTATCCCCCTGTAATCTCATTTGTCTGTAAGTTTGTCAGTCTGTCTGTCTATCAGTCTGTCACAAAAACTTTAACCTTGGTCATAACATTCGAATGAAAAGAGACAGGGCTTTCATATTTCACATGTACATTACCTCTGACAAGACCTTTGCTAATATACTATGATTTTTGACCCCATGACCTTGACCTTGAAGTTTGACCTACTTTTCAAAAAAATTTAACATTATAGTAACTTTAAATTGGTCATAACATTTGAATGAGAAAAGATAGGGCTTTCATATTACACATGTATATTATCTGAGACAAGACCTTTCAAAATATACTATAACTTTTCACCCCTTGACCTTGAAGTTTGACTTACTGTTTAAAAATTTTATTTTTGCTAATAACTTCTGATTTAGAAGAAGTAAAGCTTTCATATTTCACTTGTACATTACCTGTGAGAAGACCTTTCCAAATGTTTTATGCTTTTTATGACCCTTTGATGTTGACCTTGAAGTTTGAAATACTTTTCAAAAAAATTTTATCATTACTTTAAATTGGTCATAACATTTGAATGAGAAAAGATAGGGCTTTCATATTATACATGTATATTATCTGAGACAAGACCTTTCTAAATATAGTATGACTTTTCATGCCATGACCTTGAAGTTTGAATTACTTTTCAAAATTTTTATCTTTGCTTATAACTTTTGATGGAGAAAATATAGAGCTTTCATTTTTGATGTGCATTACCTGTGACAAGATGTTTCCAAGCATGCTATGATTTTTTACCCCTTAACCTTCATGTTTGACCTAATTTTCAAAAAATTTAACTTTGGTGATTACTTTTGATTGATATATGATACGGCGTTCATGTTTGACAAGTGTATTACGTTTGGCAAAATGTTTCCGAATGTGGTATGATATTTGACCCCTTGACCTTGACCTTATTTTCAAACATTCTATCAGTGTTGCAGAAGCAAAGATAGGGCATTCTTGTTTGACAGGTGCATTTTCTGTGACAAGCATTTCCAAATGTTCTATGATTTTAACCCTATGATCTTGACTTTGACATAATTTTCTAAAATTTTAACATTGCTGTTAAATTTCGATTGAGAGTAGATAATTATGGAATTTACATTTGACATGTGCATTACCAGTTTCAAGGCCTTTCTGCGTGACCCAGACCTTAAAGTTTAACCTACAGTCTTTTTTTTCAAATTAATTTTACATTAGTAATAACTTTTAAATGAGAAAAGATAGGGCTTTCATATTTCTTTCATGTTCCTTCATGTACGTTACCTATGTCTACACCTTTCAGAGAAGTACATGTATATCATTTTTGACTTCATGACCTTTACCTAGAAGTTTGACCTACTTATAAAAATTTTTAGCCTTGACCATAACTTTATGCTTCATAAGAGACAGGGCTTTCATATTTTTTTCACATGTGCGTTACTTGTGACAAAACCTTTCAGATGTATTATGATATATTGACTTCATGACTTTGATCTTGAAGTTTGAATTAGTTTTGAGAAGCTATGATCTTTGCCATACCTGTTATTAATTCAATAATTTATGTCTTTTTTGTCTGAAGACAAGACACACATTTTTGAATTTGCTTGTTCTAATTAAAAACACATTTACCTATCAAACCAGCTTTTTTTTCATCCTCCCCAAATCCATACTATATACAGTTGAACTTCGTTATCTCGAACACTCAAATCTCGAATACCATGGATATGTCGAAGTGAATTGCATGTCCCAACCACTTATTCTTTAAGTATTTTACCCTCGATATCTCAAATCCTCGGATATCTCGAAGTTTTTTCTCGGTCCCTTCGAGTTCGAGATAACGAGGTTTGACTGTATCTATATTGATATTCAATGCAAAAACATGAAAAAATACAAGTAAATTTACTTCAATTTTACCATGTAACAAATTAATTTGAACCTTAAAATGCAACAAACAAGAAAAGTTGCAATTGATGAAATTCCCACTTTCACATTTTGGTTATACTATGACCTTACATAGTAATGCACTTAAATTGAAGCAAATTTGAACTTGTAAATGACATTAAGCCTCCAGAATTGAACTATTAAAATTTTTTTTGTAATCTGTTCATGGTGATTACATGTAGGTGTACACTAAAGGCATATGATATTGATTTTTGAGTCATATATTTATGCTTGGTCCCTTTTTCATCTGATGTAGTTGTTTATGAACTCAACATGCTTTGTTAATGAACTTAAGGTAAAATTACCATCTGAAATCAAAGAAGTGCATACCTTTCTGTTTCAGTAGCCAGAATGATGAGGAGAAGTTTTGTCTGGTTTCTGTTTTCTCTGTCTGTGGTGTTGGCTGGAGATGACTTCTATGAAATATTAGGAGTGGAGAGATCTGCCACTGCCAAAGAAATCCGTAAAGCATTTAAAAAACTTGCCATAACAAAACATCCCGATAAAAATCCAGTAAGTTTAACCGTTAATAGCATTTTCAATCAACCAAACTCTTAAAGAAATGGCAAAAAATCACTGAATGCATTGATTTCATACAAACATGTTAATTCAGAAGATCATTTTAGGTGATAATCAATACATGTACATGTATTAAACATTGAATGATCATTTTCTCTTGCATATAGCATGTATAAATATAAGTACTGTAAGTCAAAGAATTGAGAATGCAAAATGAATAGTGGGCTATCACAGAAGTTATGATCCCTTCTGGTAAAACTTACCAGACCAATATGTTTCTTCTCCATCTCTTTGTTTGTCTGTCTGTCATGCCCTGACTGTGTCAGTATGAGGTGATATTTACTATTTTGGAGGTATTTTCTGATATATAAAAAAAAAAGAATTTTTCATACCAGTAATTCGAATTCATGATGTCAAAAATAATTTTTGATATAAAAATTTTGATTATTTGATATTGGAAAATCATTTTCTGATATCAGAAAATGATTTTGTGATATCAGAAAGTTTAATGTTGGATATCAGAAATTAACGTATATTTTCTGATGTCAAGTATCGAATTCTTGATATCAAAATATCATTTTCTGATACATGAGGCAGTGTTTTAAATATTTTTAAGGTATTTCTGATATCAGAAATTCAATTTTTTGATATAAGAAAATACTTTAAAAATATATTTTAAATGGTGCCTCATATGTCAGCCAGTCTGTCCCAGTTGCTTTTCAGGACTTTTATTAGAAATGCTTGTTAAATTTGTATATGATTTATGGAACTTCAGAATGCAGAGAAGATTTAACATTAGATAAATTTATTTCCAATAAAAAATTTACACAGTATAACTGTCTAGTGTACACTGTCCGTACTACACACAATATAGCGCATCAGCTGTTCACTATATGTGGCATGAGATAAGAATGAAGAGTAAATATGTTGTAGTTTATAAGGCATACTCCTCTGGAATGTAAATTTTGTACATTGAATACCTGTTTATTCACTCAAAGACTAAGGTTATCATTATCAGTCTAAGCACTTAAAGCTCACATCTTCTACTCAGACATAAAAGAGACATTATTTAAACAATGAAGTGTCTTTTTATTGTCATCACTGGGGATAGGAATGGTTGCTAGCATAGTACATATTTTATTTTTGTACAATTTGAAGTCATTTCTGAAGGAAATATTCTGAAGATGTAACAACACACACACACACCCTCACACACACCCTCACACACACAAGCACACACATTTGATAATGAATAATAACAAGTCAGTTTGAAGAGATTAAATAATCCTTGCTTGTACAACAAACATAGGTACTTTCACATAAAGCATGCATTGAATCATTTTCCAGATTAAAAAGGTCTGTCTGAAATGAACTTCGATCTTTATAAATATAAAGAATTTACTGTAATCAAAACCTTGTTGATGTAATTGATTTGACTGGTTTATTTTAGGCACTGACAGGGATATTTACTTTGACAATAGCATTTTCTGACTGAAATTATCAGTTAATTCTATGTATGAGAAACAGGAAGTATAAAAATCTTTGCCTATTGTGTAGGAACCAGGAAGGTAGAATTATCTTTACTGGCCCAGTTACAACATGAAATACATGTATATATATATATATATATATATATATATATATATATATATATATATATATATATATATATATATTATATATATATATACATGATACGGTCATAAGGTTATATGGCATATAATTACTTTTTACATGGACAGTCTGCAATACAAGGCAAGACTTAACATAATGATATGGCTTGAGGCCTACAATATGTATATATCTTACTTGAAACATTTCTTCACTTTTCAAAATGTTAACAGATTTTCTTATATCTTCCACTGTTAAAATTACTTTGAACAGTTTAGTGTTTTTCAAGACACTGACTATTACATATTAAATGAATATTTTAAATAAGCTTAATCTGCTTTTTACCATCTTCGTAAAATGTGTGTTCTTTAAGAGTTGAGGCCACATGTTTAGGTTGTGTTGATCATTTTATGCCCCCCCCCCCCACACACACACACACTGAAAAAGGAGGAATATTGCTTTGCACCTGTAGGTCAGTCAGTTGGTCAGTTGTTATGTTGGTTGGTCTTTCGGTAGACCAAGTGTAGTCCATTATAAATCTTGAGAACACTTTGCTGACAGACATCCGACTTCGTAAATAGAGTGTGGTACACTAGTACCCTCTCAGGAGCAATTTGCTTGACAGACATTGGACTTGGTACATTAGTTCTTCTAAGGAGAACTTGACCCCTATTAATTCTGAGATCACAAAAGTCAAGTGTCAACATAGGAAAATATTGACTGCTCAATATTTTGAGACCCCGTCTTTGACAGATATCGAAATTTGTACACTCATGGTTACCCGTAGGAAGTTAATGACCCCTGTTGTATTAGTCACAGGTCAAAGGTCAAGGGTCAAATGACATAGACACTAGACATAGGAAGATATTGTCAGCTTAGTATCTTGGGCCCCATTTGCTTTACAGACATCAATTTTGGTAAACTGGTACCCTCTAAGAAGTAAATTATCCCACATGATATGGAGGTGTGATACTGAGATCAATCCTAGTATTATGTTTGCCCTAGACTAGTAGATGATTAGCATTAAGTTTCGTAATCTTAGATATATATACACCTATTTGGTGTGACGTCATGTTAAACCAATGAAAATAATTGTTTCCATTGCAATTTGAAATCAATAATAAACAAGGAATGTAACGTAAACTGTGATTGGGTAGTGAAAGGTTGCTACAATGTTCATTTTTGACTCTGCTTTACTGACATTAGTCAGTATTTTAATGAGCTATTCTCTTCTCATTCAGTCATGGCCAGAATGTGAGAGGACTGTACATTCTGGCTTTGGTTTCTGACAAAGGTGGAGAGAGGTATAATGTATTCTATTGCGAAGTTGATGGCTCGTTTTAATACTCCCCCTTGAGGGGGAGTATTAAAACGAGCCATCAACTTCTCAATAGAGAATAAGGTGTAATGTATCTCAAACATCTCTTGTTTTAAAAAATCTTTTACATGAAGGGAAAAGCTTCACAAATATGACAGTGAACATGGAATCCTCACCAACTTGTAAAATTAATGTCCCAAGAGTCCAGAGTTCCAGATCCTGGTGAGGCTTACTGTGGAATCATCATTGTTCATGGGTACCAATGTTCATGGATTTCATGGGTCACCCTTACCCCCTTTATATATTCCCACAAACGTTTGAAATTACGTCCCCAAAACAAGTAAAATTTTGCTTGCCCACGTACATGGACCCCCATGATTCCACAGAAATTGTTCGTATTAAGAGAAGAAACTCTTAGTGAAGTAAAACACACTTATAGGAAAATGCCAGGGATGAACAATTTTGATTCATTAAAAACATAATTCATTATATATCTGTTCATGATTTATTTTAAGACTACAGGGAATTAATTCAAATTACTTTGTTTGAAACGTGTCTGAATTCATTTTTCACTGTTTTACTGTACTTGGTGACTGTCAAGGCCCTTGGGCCTCCTGTTTGATATTACACTGTGTTGTTTGTTTAAAAAAACTGAAGTCTTGCTTTACTTTATTTCTGTTCATTTTTATTTTCAGGATGATCCCAAAGCTCATGAAACTTTCTTAAAAATAACCCGAGTGTATGAAGTCTTGAAGGATGAGGATTTGAGGAAGAAGTATGACCTTCATGGAGAGGAGGGACTTAAGGAGGACTTCCATGGAGGAGGGCAGTATGAGAGCTGGAACTTTTATAATGAAGAGTTTGGTAGGGAACCAATTTAGACAGAGAATCAGCATCTTTGCATTGCCAGCATATATGCAAAAGAGTTACTGATGAATTGATTCTGTTTGATTGTTTAAATGCTCTTAATCTGTTTGCAGGAATATATGATGATGACCAAGAAATAATTACGCTTAGTCGGTCAGATTTTGGTAAGTACATGAAAATCAGCACTGATAGTTACATTCTGTGTACTGTCTTAGAAATTGGGCAAAGTTTATTGATTTATATGTGATTTACAGATAAACTCTAAAATGATAAGCAAAATAACAATTTTACTGTACAGGTACCACTATCATGTTATTCACTGTTGATATATCGACTGTAGAGATGTATTGTGTAATATATTTTCAGAACAGTCAGTGGACGGAACTCAGGACATTTGGTTCATCAACTTCTACTCTCCTCATTGCTCTCATTGCCATGAGTTGGCTCCTACAGTAAGTATTATTTTGTATAGTGGCATTTACTGTGGAGGATCTTAAAAAGTGGCACTAATGAAAGTCCTCTAGTGAAAAAATAATTGTATGTATCCCGTAAGATTTTTTTGCAAACAAAGGATATTTTATAACTGCAAATCACTGCTTAAGGAAAAGATTGACTGTTAGGTAATGAAATTAAAGATGTATAGCAGGGAAAGTATCGAATCATGTGATTTTAAATTCATTGTTTTACAGTGGCGGGAACTTGCAAAGGAACTTGAGGGAGTGATTCGTATTGGAGCAGTAAACTGTGAAGATGATTTCATGCTTTGTCAACAGAATGGCATTCATTCCTTCCCTTCTCTTGTTATGTTTCCAGCTGTAAGAGCATTCATTTATTCGGGAATTTTTTTTATCAGTCTCCTATTTGTTACTTTATTTACTTCTGTTAAATAAAATATAAATGGAATAATATATGTACACAATGTATATTTTTTAAAGGAATTGCATTTTAGATGCTATTTACTTTATTGTGCATTAATTTTTTTATCATCTCATTGTATTTTTTTTTATTGGGTGTAATCTGTTGATAGAGAGAGAAATACCATGGCAACAGAAACACACGTGACCTGGTAAGACATGCCTTGAAGTTCGTCAGAGCTGAGGTGATTGAACTTTGGGAGGGAAATTTTCAGAAATCTTTGGAGGAGAACTCAGAAAAACCCTGGTTGATAGCTTTTTGTGGAGAAGAATGTAAGGAAATTTCATTGTTTGTAGTCCTAATATCCTAATAATATATTCATTTAGGTTCTATATATAAATGACAAGTGCAATATGAAAATCTGCATTCAGAAGAGAGTATTTGCTTGCTTATGTTTGCTGTTATGAAAAAGAATCTTTACGAATTAAATGCTATGGATAATTAGCTTTCTTTGTATATTTTCCCTTTTTTTCAGCTTGCTTGTCAAGAACCAATAGATTAAAACTGTCAGCGATACTGGTAAGATTTTTTGTTCAGATTTAACTCTTGCAAACTATGCCTACATATGTAAGTGATGCTTAACTTTGTGCAGAATATAAGATTGTTTGAAATGCAATTAGGCAGATGTGGTCAACTTTGGAACACTACGATGTAAACACAATGAAAATCTTTGTGACAAGCTTGGAAAGGAGCATGGGATATTTTACTATGGCCATGATGGTGTAACAAAGGATAAAGGCATTGTGAGTGAGCAGTCTCTCTCTCTCTTTCCTCTTTTCACCATCATAAACATAAATGCTTCTTACTTGTATCAAAGTGTATAATTTTATAAATTACTAAACCTGTATTCCAAAAAAAAAAAAAAAATACAAAATAAAGAATGCAGTGGAATATTTTGTTTGATGTAGGAAATATCTGGATCTGATCCTCAGGAGATTGCCTTTCAAGTTATGTCTCAGCTACCAGATGTGAAAGATTTGGACAGGGAGGTCTTTGGGGTAAGAGTAAATAATACATACTCAGTAACTTAAAATGGATTGTGACAAAGAAATTGGAACTAGTAATAAAAATTGTTGAACTTTTCTTGTCACAATAGTGAGTTTAGGGTGGATAATATACAGTTAAGTATCTTTGTTTTGTCAATGCATGGTATTTCATTAATCAAATTATCTCCAAATTATTACGTGCCAAATGCTTCTAGCCTTTATGGACGGTAAGGAAGAAAAACCATTTTATCAGTAGCTCTTTTGGCTTGCATATGCATGTCCTTCTATTTCAGAACCTGGTGAGGAAGATGACAAAGGGCCAGGACAAGGACTGGTTAGTGCATTTTGTAGATGAAGAGGAACATCAGGAAATTGAGTTCAGAAAACTGCCAGCCATGCTTCCTCAGTTCAGGGTAAATATAAAGAATTATCAGTCATGCTGCCTCAGTCTTGGATCAGTACTACCATTAGAATTATCATCCGTACTGGCTCAGTTCAGATAAATTACAAAAATTATCAGCTATGCTGCCTCAAATCTGAGTCAATAGAAGCTATCAGCTCTCCCCGTTGAACTAGCAATCATGGCTGCTATGGTTCAGGGTTCGTTAAAACCGACAGCTATGCTGCCAATATTCAGGAGCCAGTGAAAACTACCAGACACACTGCCTCATATCAGAGTCAATAAAAATTTCAGCCATACTGCCATGGTGTAGGATCAGTATACATGTATCGGCCATACCGCCATTGTGTGGGATCAGTATACTTGTATCAGCCATACTGCCATGGTGTGGGATCAGTATGTGTAAATGTATCAGCCATACTGCCATGGTATGGGATCAGTATACATGTATCAGTCATACTGCAATGGTGTGGGATCAGTATAAATGTATCAGCCATACTGCTTTGGTGTGGGATCAGTATAAATGTATCAGCCATACTGCCATGGTGTAGGATCAGTATGCATGTATCAGCCATACTGCCAAGGTGTAGGATCAGTATACATGTATCAGCCATACTGCCATGGTGTGGGATAAGTATACATGTATCAGCCATACTGCCATGGTGTGGGATCAGCATACATGTATCAGCCATACTGCCATGGTGTGGGATCAGTATACATGTATCAGCCATACTGCTATGGTGTTGGATCAGTATACATATATCAGCCATACTGCCATGGTGTGGGATCAGTATACATGTATCAGCCATACTGCCTTGGTTCGGGATCAGTGTACATGTATCAGCCATACTGCCATGGTGTGGGATCAGTATATATATATATCAGCCATATAGCCTTGGTGTAGGATCAGTATACATGTATCAGCCATACTGCCATGGTGTAGGATCAGTATACATGTGTCAGCCATACTGCCATGGCATGGGATCAGTATACATGTATCAGCCATACTGCCATGGTGTGGGATCAGTATACATGTATCAGCCATAGTGCCATGTTGTGGGATCAGTATACATGTATCAGCCATACTGCCATGGTGTGGGATCAAAATACATGTATCAGCCATACTGCCAAGGTGAGGGATCAGTTTACATATATCAGCCATACTGCAATGGTGTGGGATCAGTATACATGAATCAGCCATACTGCCTTAGTGGAAGAATTACTGTAAACGTGTTTATATTGAGGGGTTGAAACTTTGACGATTTCTGTATACATGTATTAGAAAAATGGCAAGTGGAATCTTTTACCTTTTGATAGTTTACTAGTTTTTTTACAGTGCTCTTTAGCAAGAACACAAAAGTTGACGAGGGGAAACTGACATAATTAAGTTATTCTTCAATCTCGTCAATGTTTCAACGTCGTCAAAGTTTCCACTTTTACAGTAGTATTTTTTAAAAATTATAAACTTGATGCTCTCTTGTGTAGGATTAGAATAAAAACAACTTTTAATGTTTCTTTCTTTTAGGTAAACTAAGGGTCATGTTCTGTTGTTCCTCTGCCCAGGGTTAAACTTCATTTAGAGTTTTAAAAAAAAACATGGTGCTGAATTAATTATTGTATCCATTTTCTATCAGATAGACAGAATTTGAAGTGTGTTTTTCATTTTTTTTTTCTTTTTAATTCAGTATAGTGTAATAGTATAACATCAAGACGTCTTCTTAAAAATAGTGATGACATGAAGAAGTGTCGTTTTACCAATGCCTCTTAAGATTAACGTTTTCGGTGCTAATTACATAGTGTCCTATTTGACTTGTCATCAATTAGAATGCTCCAACTAAGAAAGTGTATGAGTACATGTACTTAGGATGAAGCAATACTTTTAAGTTTTTATCTCTATTTGTCACAGATAGGAAGAGTCAACTGCAGGAAGTTATGGGACATCTGTAAAAAGCTCCATGTCAATAAATTTCCTTCTTTTTATGTCTTTAAAAGAAGTGGAGGATATGAAATTTATTATGGTATGACTGCAGACATCATATTTCTGTAAAGATAAACATATTTAATAGGACCAAAAATTAAGAGAATTATCATTAAAATGTACACATATTATCTGAAGAATAGTTTTTAAAAAAGAATATTTAAATATTCATTATAACTCCATGTTTACTTAATGTATCTGTAGGTCGAGATACAGCACCTGATGTATCGGCCTTCGCCAGGGACAGCGCCAGTACTACTCTGGTGTCCTTGGGACCGGATGACTTTAACCCAAACAAAGTGGGCCCTTCCAGTCAACAACCCTGGTTTGTCGACTTCTTTGCACCTGTGAGTACCATATCTAGATGTTGGACTGCAAAAAATTTACTTTGAAACCACTTTTGAAAAGAAATTGGATTATATATAAGGTTACCATTATATGTCTGCAACAACTAAAAAAAAAAACTTTTAACTTGTTTTTAGTGGTGTCCTCCATGCATGAGGTTGTTACCAGAGTTCAGAAAAGCAGCTCGTGATTATGATGGCGGTGTAAATTTTGGAACTGTAGACTGTACAATTCATGGTGACCTCTGTCAAATGGTGAGTGACATTTATCAGTATTATTCAGAATACTGAACGGGTAACATTATCTAAGTAAGTTACAGAGAGTAAGTTTAACATGAATGGATTTAATATACATGTACCATAAAGACTAGGACACAAGTCTTGTGTGTCTCAGACTCTCTATTTCTAACTAATATGTGTTATTGATTCATCTTGCTTTATTGAAAAATATTTTATAAAATTACTATAGAAAATTGAAGATCTAAATGTATCATTAGATTTATGTTCTTTAATGTGGAGTGTGTTGTACAAATATGAGAGGAATCAGTGTGAATGATAATACATTTACCTGTATATAAAATGATTATGAAAAAATTGCATATATATTTATGTTTTGCAGTATAACATCCGTTCTTATCCTACAACGATTTTCTACAATCAGTCTGTTCCTCATCAGTACCATGGTCACCATGACTCATTCCACATCCTACAGTTTATACAGGTAACATTATCTATCCATTTTACCAGTATATATGTTATTTATAGGATTAAGTTTACAAGAGGGGTTTTAAAATATCTACATTGTGTATGTGGTAGTTTTTTTTTCTTTCTACCTCTTCCTTTTTTAGAAATGAATTATATTATTTTACATATTTGATTCCTGCAAAAAGTCTAGATTTGACTGTAAGTACTTTTATGATAGGTAGTTTTTTAAAGAGATAAAACAATTTCAATATTTATCAGCTTCCCTGTATATTTTCTCACACTGAAACCTTTCTGAGTTGCAGGACACATTAAACCCCCCAGTGGTGAGCCTGGACAAGGGGACATTCAGACAACTTGTACAGGGGACTGACAGAAGTACTGTGTGGTTTGTAGACTTTTTTGCTCCCTGGTGTGGGCCTTGTCAGCAGCTGGCTCCAGAATGGAGAAACCTGGCTAAGGTATGCCATAAAGTGAAACAAGGATGACTGTCAATACATTTGCTGCATTTGTCAGTACATTCCCCTGGATTGTAATATGTATATAGGAATGTGCACTGGAGATTAACTATGAATTTAAAGATTGATTCCCTTAAAAGTAAAGGTTTGTTGCACTAGTGAAAATGATATATTTAGATTAGATTTATGCAGCTCAATTCCCTTTGCAGATGTTAAAGGACTTAGATGGAGTGAAAGTAGGTCAGGTGGACTGCCAAGCCCATGGGGATTTATGCAGTTCTGAAAATGTTAACTCTTACCCCACCATAAGATTGTACAGCAAAAGTGCTGAGGGACTGCTGCAATTCTAGTAAGCTTACACAGCATTAAAGTCTTCTTGAATAAAAGTGATATTCTTTCACAGTGTGAAAGGATATCAAAGTGATCTGTCACAGTGTGAAAGGATATCAAAGAAAGTAAAAAATAATTTCTGGCCTGTAATAAGATAGAGATAGTAACTAAACCATCTTGATAGAGACTAAAACTGCCAATTTCTTATGAAATATGTTGCTAAAATCCATGTTAGTGTTTTTAATCTCACAATTGCTAAGCTATGACGTCTCAACTGCTCAACTATGACATCACAGCCTATGACACTGTGTTAAGAAAAGATAGAGTCAAAAGGAAAATCAAAGAAAAAAACAGAACATTCAATGTTTTGTAGTTGGATATGAAATTTATTTCACATGAGACAGGATTTTTTTTAAAATATTTTCACGAGTGCTTTGCACTCGTGAAAATATAAAAAAAAAATCCTGTCCCACCCCTGAAATAAATTCTACATCCAACTACAAAACATTGAATATCCTCTCTATAACCATGTAACAATATACATGTAAAATATTTATGTAATGAATTTGCATTGTAAATGTTTTCCTTTTAGTATGTTCAGGGAAGAATTAAATACAAAACTTAAATTGGGGTATGGAAGTTTCAGATGAAATGAATTTTAGATTTAAAAAAAAAATGTCAGTTCAATATTTTAAATTTTGAGATCTGAAAAATTCATTACTAAAAGTGTAAATTTCCTTATTCTACAAGGAATACAAATGTTACAAGGGATCCCAAAAAACTTTGCTGTCTCCGTGTTCGAGTTATAGAGGATATTCAATGTTTTGTAGAGTCATGGTATCCTTTCACACTGTGAGAGAATATCACTTTTATTCATTAAATAAATCGGAGTATTTCACTGTTGAAAATGTAATAAATACTGTATATAATAATGCTTCAGGCATACGGACACTGTGACTCATTTTTGTTGTAAATATATTAATAATGTGATAATTATATGGTTTATATTTCAATGTATATGTATATTGCAGTTATTACAATAGTTGGGCTAGAGATGCTGTCAATATTATAGCTTGGATGTTTGAATCCAATCTGGTTCCATCCAATCTGGAGCCTATAAATCAAAACACATTTTACTGGAAGGTGTTACGAAGCTCAAAACCCTGGTTAATAGACTTCTATGCACCGTGGTGTAACCATTGTCACATGTTCAGACCAAAGATAGAGGTGGTGGCTAAAGTAAGTTTTTTTAATTATTTTTTTCATATATAAGAAGTTTTCATCAGAAATGTCTTAAGTTTTTTTTTTTTTTTTGGCTTTCAGGATAGATAAAATGGAACTTCTATGTTAAGTAAATACATCTTTGGATTAAGTGATTTCTGTGTGAATTTTGCAGACATTAAAGGGACGTTTAAGAGTAGGGAAGGTAAACTGTGATGCAGATCAGAGTCTTTGCCAGCAGGTGGCTCTGTCAGGGTATCCCTCCATCAGATTATACAGTGGGATCAGCCCAGGAAAGGATGCACAGGTAATGCATTCAAGTCATCATTTAGGAAGATTATTCATTTTTGATATCTTTCTGAAGATTTTTTTTAGCTCACCTGAGCTGAAAGCTCAAGTGAGCTTTTCTGATCACCCATCATCCGTCGTCTGTCCGTCCATCTAGCTGTCTGTCTGTCTGTAAACTTTTCACATTTTCAACTTCTTCTCAAAAACCACTGGTCCAATTTTAACCAAACTTGGTACAAAGCATTCTTTGCTGAAGGGCAGATTAAATTGTTTAAATGAAGGGCCGAACCCCCTTCCAAGGGGAGATAATCAAGAAAAGACAAAAATAGGGTGGGGTCATTAAAAAATCTTCTCAAGAACCACTGGGCCAGAAAAGCTGAAACTTAAGTGGAAGCATCCTGAGGTAGTGTAGATTCTAAATTGTTCAAATCATGACCCCTGGGGGTAGGGCGGGGCCACAATAGGGAATCCAAGTTTTACTTTGAAATATGTAGAAAAAATCTTTTAATATCTTCTCAAGAACCACTGGGCCAGAAAAGCTGAACTTATGTGGAAGCATCCTTGGGTAGTGTAGATTCTAAATTGTTCAAATAATGACCCCCGTAGGTAGGGTGGGGCCACAATAGGGAATCCAAGTTTTACATTGAAATATGTAGTAAAAAATCTTTAAAAATCTTCTCAATAACCACTGGGCCAGAAAAGCTGAAAGTTAAATGGAAGCATGCCTGGGTAGTGTAGATTCTAAATTGATTAAATCAAGACCCCTGGGGGTAGGGTGGGGCAACAATAGGGAATACAAGTTTTATATTGAAATATGTAGAAAAAATCTTTAAAAATCTTCTTCTAAAGAACCACTGGGCCAGAAAAGCTGAAACTTATGTGGAAGCATCCTTGGGTAGTGTAGATTCTAAATTGTTTGAATCATAACCTTTGGGAGTAGGACGGGGCCACAATAGGGAATCCAAGTTTAACATTGAAATATGTAGAAAAAATCTTTAAAAATCTTCTCAAGAACCACTGGGCCAGAAAAGCTGAAACTTAAGTTAAAGCATCTTTTGGTAGTGTAGATTCTAAATTGTTCAAATCATGACCCCCGTAGGTAGGGTGGGGCCACAATAAGCACTACAAGGGGGGAAATCAGGTGAAAAACAGCAAGGCCAAAGTTACTCAGGTGAGCATTGTGGCCCATGGGACTCTTGTTTCAAATTGATATATTAACTAATTTCAGCATCCATATGGAGAGGAAGTAGATATATATGAAGCTCAGGAGCTCATTGAGTATCTCGAGGATATACTTCCCGAAGATTCAAAGGTAAGAAGATTTAAAGACTTTGATATCTTGTTAAATTAGGGAAAGTCAGTTACTTTGGGGAGTATTTGAGCTGAAATATGAGTACAGTAAAAATACCAGACATTATGTGTATCGCTTCCTTGATGCAACAGTTCTTGATCAAATGCCTACATGTTTATTTGTACAAATAAAGAGTTAGGTTCACTTTATGCATAAAATGGCCCTGTCCACACACTAGTTCATTGACTAACACCATATGTCCTATTTCAGTCATCAAAAAAAAGTAGAGATTAAGTGCATTTACTTTAACAAAGTTTCTTTTGAGAGTCTTGGAGAGGAAAGCAGACTTGGTCAAATGGTACCTTCATCAAGGAATTGAAATATGAGTGCATTCCTAGATCCAAAAAATAAGACATGATTTATAATGTACAGAAATAGTTCTTTCCCTATATAATGGCACATTTTGGATCAGAGGTTTAGCTATATACAGTAAGACATGGTTATAGCGAACACATAGTGAATTTATGCTCACATTGAAGTGATTTTCAATCTCTGTGGTTTTAAAACTTATTGTAATCTTAACAGATGTAACTAATTATATTTTTTTTAATCGAAAGTGCTTGTCCCTGGCACTCTGCTATAAGCATGTTTTTTTGTATTTCATATGATCCAAAATGTGCAATCATATTGGAAAAACAGCTTAAATTTCTGGCAATTTTGGAAGAAATTTTCTGGATATGGGAATAATGATGCAATTTATGATGGAATGCATTGATTATCAGGAAAAATAAGTCATTTTCAATAGATATGCAGTCACTTAGGGTCCAGATGATATTTAGCACATTGTCAACTAAAGTGAGAAGTTCTGATTTTTCAGAAATTCATTGGGCAAAAAAAGGCCCTGTGAACCTTGCTCTTTGAACTTTGTGGCCCTTGTGGTCTTTTGTCTTTCCATTTCAAATGAGGGAAGCCAAACATGGCCCTAGATAACCTTGCGTGGAGTAAGAGGAAAGGGAAAACAAAAAGTTAATTGTTTAATATTGGTAAAGGTTGTATGGTATGAAAAGCCAATCATGTTCATAAATATATATTCAATCTACCATCTTAATTGATGCTTTAGGTCACCAAAGAATGGATTTACATGTACAATGTATATTCTTTTGCAGGAATCTGAAAGTGAGAGAAATCCATTAGACCATGATGAGCTCTGATGACAGTTTCACTTAGAATTTATTTATTTACAAATTTGTGAGTCAGTCATTTTCATTGTATGTATATATACCTCATGAAATTCCTCATGTGTTTGAATGATCATGTTTAAATGTATCATTACTTGGTTCCTGTGTTTAAATTTTTAAATGATCTGATATTTAGCTCTGCTTATCAAGGACTGAAGAAGAAGAGCTTGTGCACTGGTTAAGTGTCTGCCATTCATTTGTTCATCTGTCTGTCTGTAAAATCTTCTCCCACAGTTTATAACTGTTTTGAGTTAAACTTTGTACAACCATTAATACATCATGATATCGCTGCTAGAAATACAATATTCATTCAAATTACATAGTATTGCGGCTAAAAAAATCAAATAATCTATTAAATTATTTGATATATGTTACTCTTTCTACAAATTTAATAAACAAACCTTGGTACAGCTGTAGAAGCTGTACTTAACTATACAGAATACATACATGTACTTCTATTAATCAATGTTCAATTTCAATAAACACAATTTCAAATTGGTACCCTTCCAAAAGTTTTTGTCTGATTTAAATAAATTCTCATTAAAATCACAGATTGAAAACATAAAAAGAAGTTCTGGGTGTCAAATGATGTTACTGAAAATGTTCTGTCAGTAATCAATGAAAAATCAATCCAAAATGCAACCTCTCCTTTACATTTTTGCCTAATTTAAGATGTTTGTACACAGATAAAGCACAACTTGATATATGATTCCCTGTTTAAAGTCTTATCAAGATGAAGAATATTTGTTGCTGTTTCTTAAAATGTGGTCTCTTTTTTGTGGTTCACCTAAAACTATTTAAATATCTCTCAGTTAATTTAAACAATATTTAATTCATGCATAAGACTTGACACAGGGGTTTGTCTGCAGATACCCTTTCCTCAAGCTCCTGTGTTTACTTTGAAAAAAATATCATAAACATTATCCAGAGGGGAATGTTAATATTAATTTGCACTCATTTCACTCAGACAAATTTAACTCTAAATCGGTAGACCTACAGACTTATCAGTGACTTCTGGTTACATTTAAGAAACATTTTTTAGCAATAATTTTTCATGCCACTGCATGCCAGATTTAGGCATCTGATTTCTCTGTGGTTAAAGATAGTTACATGCATGCATTGTTGTCTAAAAAACAAATGCAATTTTAAAAATGTATACAAAGACCACAAACTGTAGTCCATTTGTCTTGCCACTGAATGACTGCTTACTTCTGTATTCCTCAGACATTAAGAAACATGTATTTTATCCATATTTAAATCTTAATATTTTTTACATCATTCATGTAATGTGGTACCTGCAATAAGGTTGTTTTGTTTTTTATTATTCAAAAAAGTTTATTTTTGTTGTTTTATTTAAGAAGAGAATTGTGTTCTATTTACACCCATTGTCATTTGTTTCAGAAATAAGGATAAATTGTATGTATCATTCCTTATGAATTTGAGTGAGTGCTTTTGAATATACAGAAGATGAGGAATAAATGTTTGTATTTAAGTATGTTAATGAAGAAAACTAAGCATTTCTTGTTTATGAATACATTGATAAACCCTCTAAGAACATTTGATTTCAAATGATTTTTTTTCCACTGCTGCAATTTGGTATAACACCATTTTCCCCTTTTGATTAGCATGGTCATCATATTTATATTAGGTTTCAAAATAGTTGTTTCTTATTTTTTCTGGTATTGCAAAGGAGAAGCATATTTTTTATGAACAAGTACATGTATACATATATTGATTTTTACAGCCCCCTCAAAAAAAATCATCAGTAAAAACACGTCTTACTCTATTGACAGTATTGGGTGATTGGTCTTTTTCCCAATTTCTGTATATTACTTCACCTACATGTAGTCCCAGAATATATGTCTCATGTTCACATGTATGTATGAAACTTTTACAAAGAAGCTTATTGTATACATTCTGATCACTTGTAAGCTGTTTTTGTGTTCATATGCTAATATTTACATTTCCAAATATTTTTCCTTAAAATTCTTAGCAAATTAGAAAAAGTTCATGTTCTCATGAACTACCGTGGGATGAGTAAGAATATTTCCATTGTGATGTGATTGAAGTCAAAAAGTATTGCAAACTTTTTTTTCAAAAATGATCGTTGAATGACAAAAATATGTGGCAAGTCATCAGAAAAATAATGTAAATGTAAGATATGAATTTAATTTTTGGGAATTCATGACGTACATGAACTACGATGCTTCACGCCGGCATATTTATCATGAAGTGCTAACACGCTTCATGAAATATGCAGGCCTGAAGCATCATAGTTCATGTCCTCATGAATTCTCAAAAATTAAATTTTATCTCTTAATTGATTCTGTAAAAATGACAATATTTCAGACTGTTGAGTAATATAGCTTAAGTGACATTATACATGTACTCTTTAGTTTGATCATGGTAGAAATGACTGTGATTTTGAAGGAACAATGGCTTCTTCAATTAATTTTGAGTAGGTAAATGATCAAAGCTAACATTTGTTATCTATTAATAAGGAAGATAGTCTGATGGGTAGTTTTCTATGACGAAAAATAAGCACAGTATTTTTGTTTTTAGAAATGCTGTAAAATTAATATACTAAAACTTGTAATTATATTTTAGCACCTCTTGCATTACTTCTTGTTGGCTAATTCAAGGACATGCTAAGATATGATTAAATCTAATTCACAGAAGTTTTGCTATGTAATGATTAATCAGTTGATGAGGAAAACTGCAAATAAGTACTTTTACAGTAGTGGAAATTAATGTTGTTTTTGTTGAACATTTCTTGTAATAATGAAACTCTTAGGTCCAAGAATGAAGACCTTTAGTATATGTGAGAGTTGCTAATACTTAAATTTTGAGGGTTTTTTGAAGTAATTAACAATATCATATAAATATGGAATCATTTTATTAGGCTGCTGTTTTGAACTCGTTATATTTTATTCCATATTTTAACTTTTCATTTTACATTTTGCTCCATTATTCACAATGGCTTAACGTGACTTTGACCATAAGAGGTACATGTGTGGTCATACACATAGGTCCACAGGAAATCCTTCTGCTTACTTGTTTATACACTAATGTATTTATTCTACAATTTATAATGTGCCTTCAATCTTACAATAAGTTTTTATTGTGTCAAATAATAAAGAATGTTCATTTTATCTTTGTATCAAGTGATATGCTTATAAGGTGACTGTGTTATAGTTTTGCTTAAGATCAAGAACAGATATGGTATATATGATCTGTATACTATTCAAACATTAGAAAATGTAAGAGTCTCTTTAAATTTTAAATATTTTTTCCTGTTGTTACAATAGAGTGTTCAGAGTTAATTAAATTACAATTGATGATGTGCCAAAAGTGAAACCCTCTTCCATGTCAGTATTTAACTAAATGGACTCTATATTATGCTATTATCATATTATGGCATACATTTTAGTGATAACTATCTTTGTTCGTTATTAGTTAAAGAATTTGTTTGATTCAGTCTTATTTTTGAATTTTTAGAGAATTTGTGACAATAAATAAAATGACAATGATTTTAGATGATTTTTTTTTTTTTTTTTTTTTTTTTTTTTTGCAAATTGAGCATTATATGTGGGATAAATGGTATTTAAAATAATTCAGAATCTAAGTGAAGGGGAAAGAACTCAAATTGTCCATTCTGTGAGAGAAAGAACTGATCAAGGGCCGTAGAATGGAGAGTTTGAGGCCTTTCTCCAACTTAAATGTGATTTTTGGAGAATCAATCCCAAAAAATTGTAGAAAATTGGTATTGTATTCAGGATGGGTTGGGTCAGAATATCCCTTGATACAGATCATTTGAAATTTTTAAGTAACCCACTGGCAAGTTTCTTCTTCTTTTTATTTATTTATTTATTTTTTGCAATTTAATCAATGTGATCAGACCAACCCAAATTTGAAGACACGTTTATGTTGTTTGATGTTCCAACTGATAAATTCTCAAAATATAGATTAGGAATTTGTTGCACATTTTTTAAATGAAAAATTTAGCGTTGTTTTTCTGTGGCTTAAATTTCAACAATCATTCTAATATTCTAAAATCATGATTAAGATTTGCTAAATGAAATTGATATTATTTCAACATCGTTGTGTAAGTTATCATCAGCATACTATTTACAACCTGATATCGTGTTTACGGATCGGCAACATCATTTAAATAAATAGTAGTAGATCAAGTACTGAACTCTTGGTAACCCTAGCTTTTACATATCCTGTAGAAGAAGGCCATTAATTAGAATTGCCTGGTAATAATGACGAGTAGCTCTTTTATTCAGTTGTAGATATTTTAATTATTTTATGTGCAACGGGTTTGTTAGAGGATTGAATGAATTAATTCAATTTGTTGAATTAATGATATAAATTCAACTGAAGAGATGAATATATATTAAATCAATTATTTTAAATAAAGCATAAGTTGAAATAATGCATGTACATGTAATAATCTAATTGAAGGTAGCAATATTTCAATCATTACTTGCTTAAATTGAATGATTACTCATTTCAATTGAATTAATGCGCGCAACAATTTAATTATTGAATTCTTTAATTCATTTGAAGAAAGCTATAGTTCACTCACTAGTATTGCTTGATTCAATTAAAAAAAATAACATTTTTAATCAATACCAGTATAATTCAGAATTTGAGATATCATAATTTATTTGAAGAAATCTTTAACTGAATTGTTGCGCGCATCAAGTAAAGTGAGTAGTAGTAATTAAAGATATCTACAATTATCATTTACACTATGTTAATTTGACATTCCATACACCTCTGATTCATTTACATACTATACGAACTATACAAAGGTTGTTCGAGAAGTATTGAGACATTGAGTTTATTCTTCTTTCTAATGAACACCTTTTGGTGAAAATTGGCGTATATATGCTTGACAAACATTAAGAATTAATAAAAGCAAGAAATATTTTGCAAATATTTTATTTCTTGTTTTCAGTGGTCAATGATAGGGATACCCGGTACGAAATCAGAATATTGTCAGAATTTAAATGAATTCATAGAAGGGACTTCATGATATGGACTGACAGAATGAAGCAACAGCATCACTGACATACAGCAGAACAATCGCGTTTCATCTTCATCCTTCTTGGTTGAAGATCAAACATGGAACGGTTACTGTTTCCATTTGATAAAAGTTGATTTCCTGTCTGATGTACGATCCCTACAAACATGGATAAATTTTGATAAGATAATTTTAACACGTACGCTTTGAACTTTTTTGAATAAATATTCAAAAAGAAGATGGGCGTGTTTGGCGTGTGATCTGCAGGAATCACGTGTACGAAACATTTATATAGTTTAAATGTCCACGATCTGGTTGGCTGATCACAGCTGGACAGGCTTTACAAAGCTACGCACATAGTAAAATGTTATATTTAGTTTGAAATAACATATCAAATTGTAATATTTAGGTCCACTTATCTTAATAGCATAGTTATGTTTCACATACATAATAAACACCTACAAGATAATAAGGATATTGCTAAATGCAATTACATGTGTATATGAAAGTATTAGTAGGTTGGAAGAATTGCTTTCGCTTTCGATGCAACAGAACCAAAATTTATCCATTTTAAAATAAATCAGTACAATAAAATTAAACTGACAAAAGAAATGATTGCTTGCATTAAAAAAATATTAACGCTCCATGCGAGGATCGAACCAAAACTTTTTCGACTCCGTTGCACTGGACGGGTAAGCATATTACTGAGCTATCATCGCTACATATGCAACTTGGCTTTTAAACGACAATGAAGCACCACATTTACACACTGGATTTTTTTGGGAAAAAGTTCATTTTTTATGGTCTCTGGGTCTTCTCTCCATTTTTTAGGAATGATTATTTGTTTCTTTGAATTAGAATGCAAAGAAATAACGTTTGATAATTATGGAGAGATGACCCAGAGACAGCAATTTTTTTTAGAAAAACGTGTTTAAAAATGTGACATTTTGTACCAAATGAATCATCTAGCCTATTTTAAAGTTATTTTTTAGCAAATCAAAATACAATTTCGGGAAAATATTTCCCTTTCCTATTTCACAGGAACCCAAATGATCAAACGAATGCTAAAATTTCGTGTGATAGTTCAATGAAATTTTCGCTTTTCAAGTGCGCCCAGATTCCTGCCGAATGCCAATCAAAAGCGCCCTCCTTCTTATTTCCGTATCGTTTAGCGTGTCTCTCAGTATAAATCACAATGCTTTCAATACATCAATTTTACAATTTTGAGGAACCACTACTCGGGGAGCTATGATTTCAACAGTCTTGGGTCTACACCATGTCAGAAAAACTTTCACATAAGTTTCATCATTTCTATCCCAGTGGTTCTTAAGAATAAGGAATTTAAGATACTCTCTTCATTTTGTCTCTTTCTGAGCATTTTACCTTTCAAGAGACTAGGTATTTCAACTGTGCAGATTTGATAGAAATTAGTCCTGTAGTTCGGGAGAACAAGTTAAAAAGTTGTAGAGTAAAACAATAGAAGGGTGTACAATGGAGAAACGTCGACCAGGAACGTTTACCTGAGCCCTTGTCGCAGGTTTACCTAAAATGTGAGGGTTAGAGATTTAGCTATTTGTTATCTTCTCCAATAAGTTTTTTTTTCTTAGTCCCTTCGAGAATTTTTCACTCATAATTTGATGCAAACACTTGCCGATGTAGGGCCGCAACTTTAGACCTGCACTCGACATTTCCACTTATGGCCATTGAGCAACGAGGTATGTTGTTGGTACAAACGATCCGGATCTCGATTTAAACGGTTTGATCTAAAGGACCAGTTTCCACGTCCTGCAGTCATTTAAAGTAATTTAGGAAAAACCGTATTCTGTCAATAGAGTCTGGTAGCGCTCAACATTAAAAAGAAATAGTCAAGGCTAAATATCAAAATTTATTATTTCAAAATTGGACACGTAAAAAGTACGCAGAATGTTTCCTGCTAAAGAAAACGTAAAACGTTCCTCAACAGAGTTTAATATCTAATCAATCAAATGCCTATAAATAAGATATGCATGTTTAGTGTCCAACAACATTTGAATCATATATTGCACTTCTATTGCTAAGTACTGCCGAGTCACACAAGAAATAGATTCTAGATAAATATATATGTGTTATACTACACTTCAATGAAACGGTACTAACAAAATGTACTTTTTTATTAACCTTTCCTTGCAAATTATGATACATTATTCTATGCTTCCATATGTAGGCAGTTGAAAGCATTTATACAAATACGCAGTATACTTCCTTCCTTCAAATACATGATTGAATGTAACATCGACAAAAATGTCAATCTGAAAAACATCACAAATGAAACATTCCACATTACATGAAATCTCTAAATGATAGGACGTTTTTTTTTTTATATTTTTGGAAGAAAGATTGCTACATAGTTTAATACAGGAAATGTTTAATTGGAGGAAAAAATAGTCAAATGTTTCAATAAGTCAAAATTATTCCTAAGGATGGCATTGTTCATCATTTGGTACATTTTTTTCCGTTGTTCACTTTGCTGACTACCTGGCATAGCTTCTCCAGATTTAAATTTGCCTCCAGAATCATCTCCATCTTCTGAAGAGTTTTCCTGAGACAATATCTAAACTATCTGTCTCTATGTTTAAAGTCCTTTCCTTCGAGAAGCCATTAATAATGTTTTTCCCAAGTATTTTCAAGATATTTCTGCTTTACTGAATCACTACGGCTTTAGCAGTAGAGGCGAATCCCACTCCGCTTGTTCCTCAGAGCTAAACTGGAGTATCTTTTAAATTATCTTCCACTTTAATATTTTTTCCCGGCACTTCCAGTGTCTCTTCGAGATGTTTTTCATTTGTAAGCATCAAAGGTGCTTTAGAAATAGAGGGAAAACTAATGCCAGCCTCCTCTTGGTATAACACTGATGAAACTAATGTGTCTTCATCTTTATCAATTGTTTCCATCAAATATTCCTCGTTTTCTTCCAGACGTTTTCGATTTTCTTGAGCAAATGCAGCAGTAGCGACTGAAGCAAATCCAACCCTGCTTGTCATCCCGGATTGACTTCGGTTTTCAATTTCAGTTTGAAGTTTTGCTTTTTCGTAAATTTCATTCCATCGACTTTTCATTCTTTTTTTCTTATTTAAGGCTGTAGCCCTTCTTTTAATTTCTTGTGTACGGGCTTGGTTTTCTGCTATTGTTCGCACTGTATGGAGAGTCTTTCTATTGAACCTATTTCTGAAAACTTTCTGAACTTGAGATATTTTCTCATCTTGTATTTTAGATTTTCTTTCCTCGTGGTGTATTCCTTTCGTGCTTGTGTCCTCTCCTTCTAGTAAGGCAAGTGTAAATTTCTCCAGATTTTGTGCAAAATTTAAACGTAGTTCTTGAGGATGGTTGCTGTTTTTTTTTCTTGCAATCTTCTTGTGAGTCCTTTCCACATCTCCTTGGTCTTATTTCCGGAACGTGTGCGAGATTCTTCGCTGAAACTTGTTTCTTGGGAATTAGTAGATATTGTTTCATCTACCTTTACTTTT